AGCCCCCCCCCCCTCCCCCCCTCCTTTAATTGCAAATAATATCTCGACTTCTATTCAAGAAAGATGGATATTTTTTTCATCAAAAGCAAGACAAATGGCTATGCTTTAAGATACTACTAATGTCTTCATATACCCAAAAACTGATGAGCGCCGGATGCCACCCACGATGTGACACAAATAGAGATGTTTTCCTATATTCTTCCAAAAATTGGACGCTTGGGCGAAAAAAGAATCAGTCTCCAGAACCCCAGTAGATTTGAATTACATTACATACCAATCAAGGCAAATAAAGATGTGTAATGCAAATACATGGTCATAAATAAATATAAAAATGTGTCTTTTCTCATTATTTACGATAAGTCGTTCAAATTAATGTTGCAAATAAACTCAAATAAATATGTATATTTTAACACCATTTACGTTGCGTAAGGCCGGTGCAAACGTAATTAACAAAAAAAATTGGATGGTGAGCAAATCCGATCATTGTTTTTCTATAAGCAACAAGAATGAAGTTTTTAAAAATCGGATTGTGGGCAAATCCAATTAGTGTTCTTCTATATGCAACAAAAATGAACAGCACTGAGAGATGAAAATCTGACAGTCAGTTACCCCCCAAACTCTAGGAGGGGTGTGCAGAAGAAGAACGAAGACGTGCCTAGCTCCTACTGGCGCCACTTTACCATCAACTGTTTCATGTATCATTTTACTTAAATTTTACTTTTCCGATCTAGCGGCCCTTCGCTTCGACCCGTATTTCCCACCACAGAACCGGTGCCCATTGGAGGATCAGTTCGGTTTTTAGTGGCTTCAGTGCAAACTATAAACAGACCAACTGCCAAAACCAATCTCCTGACGCGCGGTCTAGAAAATCAATGCGTTTGTTATAGAAGGTCATCATCGGTTTTGTCGCTTTTCAAAGTTTTGCCCGTCCCATGGAGAACAATCCGGCTTGCCCCAAACCAAACTAAACCAAGAACAGATGATGCCAGTGGGCACACACCGCCTACAACTTGTCTTCTCACACCAAGCCGTGCCACCGACTCACAAAGTACTACACACATCCTGTACCGTGTGTATTGCTGAAGGGAGTCACGTTCAAATAACCAGGGTAGTAGTATACAGGTAGGTGGGGGGTCCAGGGCGGGGCGGAAGGGAATGGGGGAATAATAAAGAAAAGGTAAAGGGTCCTCAAAGAAGAAGAAGAACGAACCATGCAGCACTGAGCAGACACAGGTGGTGACCCCGGCTCGTTGTCACTAGTGACCACCGACGAACGGCGGGAGGGGAGCGGGAGGGGGGCAGGGGAGAACAGAAACGGTGAAAGAAAACAAAACAAAAAAACAAACCTCAACAAAATTTTCCCCAACAAAGCAATTGCTATCTGTTTTGGGTTTTTTTGGCAAAGAAAGAAATAAAAGATGAAAAAGCTCAGCAGAGGCTGGCTAGAAATGAAAAGAAAACCAAATAAACAAAAACATCCCAGCAAAATCTTGCCAACAAAGCATTAGATCTACTTTTTCTTTTTCAGTGCTTCCACCAGCTGAAGCCGAAAAGTAAGGAAAATTCTGCTGGGGGCCGCAGAGGCCCCCCTCAGGGTCCAAGCCCCCGAAGAAAGGGAAATTTAGTACTTTTAGAGGGTTGAAAATGGCATTTGGGAGACTGTTTGAAGAGACTGCCAACAACGCGTACTACCTACTTTTTCACCAAGATTTTGTCTTGTTTGATTTCTTCACCAACATATCTTTCCATTGCTGGCAATGTTTAAAAGCAGGTTCCCCTTCCATTATTACTATAATTCAATTAATTTGTCATTGCACCATAGATAGAAGGCAAACCTGGGAATAATGAATAGATATGTACCTTCACAATACAGTTACCCAGCGTATACTCAAATTTTCACGTCTGAATGTCACATGTCACAATCTCGGAACACCACTTCGAATTATTCTTGATTTTAGTAGTTTTAGCACAAAATTCTTTCATCGCGGCCCTTATCACGTTCTCGTGTTGTAGAATCTTCGCACTGATAATTACTCTAGATCTAGACAATAGATTAGCAAAAAAGTTTCTTTTGGGCAATAATTTTCTGTCTAAAATCACAAGTTAATATACTTGATCAACTCGCAGATTTTCCTGCCGCGGCAAAAATCCGAAGATAGACGGAATGAGGGAATGACAGAAAGGAGGAAAGTGGCACAAAAAGTTGCCAGATTTTGATCAATCCGCAGGTAAAAATGTACTGCCGACCAACCCGCAATGAATGAATGGGGCATAGTGGAATAATGGTCGAGTGCAGGAAAAGCACAATCTGGCAGGTTTCTATAACATAAACTATTGCTGAGAGAATTACCGTAAATATCCGTAAGTTATACAAAACAATACGAAGGCGAGTACGGATCTTTTGCTACGAGATTTCGGTAGTCCTAGGCTGTCTCAGATTTTTACGGAGCGAGTTGATAATGATGGAGGAACAAGTACGGAACTAGCAGAAAGTACGGATTGGATTTCCGTAAAAATACGGAAGAGTGGAAGCACTGCTTTTTCCAAGAAATGTAAAGGAAAATAACAAGCGCACCTGAGACCTGCTAGAAACAAACCAAAAAAAATAAAAATAAAAAAAATAAAACAAAACAAAACAAAAGAAAAGACATAAATATGGTGAAAACATGTAACGAAAAACAAAACCGAACAAAAAGCGATATGGCTGTGCAGGGGCGTGAAAAGTGAGTACGGACGAACATCACGTGTCAACCACTACAACACACAACAACACGGCACAAAGATGCATAATAACAGTGTGCGTGGGCAGTAATAGGTAATGTTCAGTACACTCAACACGACGCATGACTTCAGGACAGTTGGACAGAGCCTTAGTGTACACTCTGTAAGTAAGTATCACACAGGTCACACGTGACAGGGAGAAGGAAAAGGACGAGACCCAACAAAAAATGCCAAACAACTGTAAGAAGAGATGAAACCATCATATCTTCAGACACACTATTTTAGAATCAAGAGGTGTGACATAGTAAGCTTGTTGTGTGAGAACGGTAAACCTTCATACAGCAAGCAAACAGCCGAGAAATACTAAACGGCAAAAAAAAGGAGATAAATTGTGAAGTGGAAAAAACAATATTCAAAAAGATGGGGGGAAAAAAGTAAATTTACTGAGATGTGGACAAAAATGTTTGGGAAAGAGCAAATTATTAACTGAGATGTAGAAAAAGTGAGTCAAATAAGTACAACAACTGAACTAAGGTCAGAGTAGGAGTAAATCAGTTCAGACTTTTCTGGAACAGTTGCATCTTTGAGATTAGATAGTTTGGTCCTCTTGAATATTTTTTAAAGAAGAGAAGAAAGCTAAAAAAGAATGGGTGGAAAAAACAAACCAATGCGGCTATAATAATAGTAGATAAAAGAGCTCGGTTGGAAAACACCAAGAGAGACACAGAAAGAAGCAGAGAGATAAATAAAGAAAAAGAGAGGGGGAGGGGAGAGAGACGGAGAGGGAGAGAGAGACGGAGAGGGAGAGAGAGAGAGAGA